TGTGTAGACAGCGCCAAATGTATTTCAAAATAGCTTATTTTGTCAATCGAAATAAGCTACACCATTTGCATAGTGCAAATTGCACAGCATATTTCGAGTTAAGGGTGTTGTGTAGACACACTCAAGGGGAATGATTTCAAAATAACTCCCCAGTGCAGACATGCCCTAAGGTGCTACTGGATTCCTTGTTGTTTTTGCAGATGCAGATTAACATACAAGGTGATTTTAGTGTAATTTAAAATACCTTCCTACCAGCCCTATGACACACAGGCAGGACTTCTTATGCGGCAGTACTGGGGCGGAGGCAGGAGGTAGCTCCTGGATTGACACTGCTTTGGAAGGGAAGTTTCCTTTGGTCCACACCTGTTTTCAACATTCCAAGAGCCTGTAACCATTTCATTCACGCCAGCCCCTGGGAACTCAAAAGTGCAGCACAAGTGACTCAAGCGGATTCATAAGTAGGGTTGCAGGTGTCCGGTATTGGCCTGGACAGCCCGGTATTTGCATGTAAAATGTCCAGTCTTTTCTATTTTTCTCAGACAGACGGCCACTCGGTCCACGTCTGGCGGGGATGGGGAGCGGGGAAAAAAGGGGATTTAAAGGCATAGCGCATCTCTTTTTGCATGTGCATTTTTTTTCCCTCAACAACTTTGGTCCTCCCCCCCCCCTTTTTTTTGTTCAACCAATTTTTTTCCTGCCATGTTCGGTATTTTTTGTGAAAGTATCTGGCAGCCATAAGAAGCAATGTGAACTGTGACAGCTTCTGCCTTTACTCTCAAGTGTCCAGCCCCCTGCTACTATACTCCCGCTCAAAGCGGGTCTACGTTACCACAGCACGTTCAACGGGGGGAGGGATAGCTCAGTGATTTGAGCATTAGCCTGCTAAATCCAGCGTTGTGAGTTCAAGCCGGGGGAGCTGGGGGGGGACCTTTACCTTTAGGGATCTGGGGCAAATGTATCAGGGATCATATGTGGTCCTGCTGTGAGGGCAGGAGACTGGACTCAATGACCTCTTAGGGTCCCTTTCATCTCTATGAGATGGTATATCCCCCTATCATAGAATCATAGAATCATAGGACTGGAAGGGACCTCAAGAGGTCATCGAGTCCAGCCCCCCGCCCTCAAGGCAGGATCAAGCTCCATCTACACCATCCCTATCTTATATAATAGCATGGAACCCCTCTCTGTGCCGGCACCTCCCTCATCACCACTGCCCACACGGGGAAATAGTGGGGAATTTTAGGTAATGCAGATGGGGAGGGAGTGAAAATCAGCATCACGTCTCTGACGAGCTCAGGACGGGAGCAGAACTAGGGTGGGACTCAAAAAAAATCAAACCGTTGAACGTGTCACTAGTGCCGTCCAGAGACCGCAAAGACCACAGCCACAAGCTACCTGCCCACTGCCAGAAAAAAGGCCTTTGAGATAATACAGGCCTGGCTAGCGTTTTATCGTTATTTCGTACAAGCATGTCCTGGGCCTTTGGAAGCAGGGAGACGAGTACCGGCTGCGAATGCTGGTGCCCAAAAGCCTCTGTCCGACTGTGGCTGCAAAACGCTTCGGCTGCGCCAGAGCCGAATGGACAAATCCGTTCCCCGCTGCACTGCAGAAGGGGTGCCACAGACCCAGAGCCTCAGCCGGCGTTAAAGGAGAGAGGACAGCTGGCTGACTGCTAGGATAGGAGGCCTGGCCCATCCCCTGGTGGAAGCCCCTAGCCTGGACCATGCGCCCCAGAAATCCAGCAGAGGGAACGAATAACCCTGAGAAACCTGCCGCCGCACGAGACTGAGGAGGGGCTCCCAGGTGCCCAGGGAGAGTCCGACAATAGCCCCCAGGTGAAAATTCAGCCATAGCCACGGCGGAGCTGAGATTTGGGGTCTCAGCACGTTGCCCAGAGAGCTTGTGCCTATTTGAGTATTTTTAAGAGCGCACCAGGGCCCGCTGCCTGTCCGGAGCTGCTGCCGACTTACCTCAGAGCCCCACAGCGCGAAGGGCAGCAGACCCCTGCCCTGCACAGCAGGGGGGGGGAATCAAACACAGAGGGGCAAGGCCAGACCGCAGCTCTGAGGCATGCCGCCCTGCTGCAGTGGTATTAAGTCAGGGGGCATGTACCCACAGACCCAGGCCTGCCAACAGGAGGGGGACAAAGGGGGCAACTACCCCGGGGCCCAGCGACTCTAAAGAGCCCGAGGCTCCCAGACGCCACTGCTCCAGCAGCACCCAGAGCCCTTTAAACGGACGCTGGCGCACTGTGGAACGTGCTTCAGGCGGCTCTAAGGACTGAGGGTGAGCCATGCTGCCACAGTCCCGCCCCCTTCTTCTCAAGGCTCCGCCCCTTCCAGGAGCACAGAGTGGGCCCCCTCCACCTTGTCCAAGGCCCTGCATCGGCTTCCCTGCACAGAACTCTTCCAGGGGGCACAACTCCACTCATCTCTGGCTGTTGGCTTAGTTTTACCACCGGCTACATGAAAAGCACTCGCCAAGTCGGCACACGCTCAGTACAGACAACGATGTGTTTCTACCCCAGCGGGTAGGGTCTGCATATGACACGCCAGCAGGTCTCAACCCCGGGCCAATCAGCCCACTGCTGGGCTACCGCTGTGGGCTAAAGGCCACCAGGCTGCAAGCTTCAGGGTTGGGGCTCCTAGCTGGCCCTAGGGTTGGGCCCTGTACGCTCTGGGGGGCCCAGGGCAGCTGTGGAGCTGGGGCCCAGGACTCCTGATTGGTCCCACAGGGTGATGCATCCGGGGCTGGGAGTCCGGGGTGTTGCAAGCCCCAGAGTCAGGTAGCCGAGGCTTCTGCCTGATCTGCCAACCCCTGCTGCGAGGTCCCCGTGTCGGCAGGTCAGCCATGTGGCTGGGTCCATGGTTGCCGTTCAGCCCCAGAGACTAGTCAGCCACCCGACCCTGTGAGCTCCAGGGATACCGCCTGGCCCTCCAAAGCTGGGGTCCAGGGCAATTGTGGGGGTGGGGCTGCCGGCTGGCCCTGCAGAGTGAGGGTTTGGAGGTGAGGGCCCTGCCCCCAGCCCCTGCGGCCCAGGTGACACATTGTGGGCTGCGTACGTGGCCCACGAGGCTAAATATGTTGAGAACCCCGACTACCTGCTGCAACGTCCATGTATATTCCAATGGATTTTGATCATCCTACGTGAAACCCGGGGCAGTGAGCAATTGTGTGCTGGGATGCTTGCGTTCTGAGGTCTGCTTTTGTAAGCAAGGAGCTTTAAAGTGGGGTGGAAGGTGGGGGCCCAGCAGACAAATCAGACTCCGGAAAGGGGTACAGGAGTCTGCTGAGGTTGGGAGCCACGGCCCTACGGGGCTCAGGGAGGGCGCAAAGAGGGGGAGGGGGAAAGCACTTGTAATCAGTCAAGCCCTGTGACCTGAACCAGAGCCGTCAGGCCGCCTCACTGACCCAGTTCTCCACCCTCACTGCCCGTCTCTCAGAACGTGCAAGAAATTTGCACCCATCCTCTTTGCCCCCAGACCACCAGGCATGCTTCCAAGGCCACGTCTACACCAGGATTTCCAAGTGACTTTGTTTGACGTAAGAAAGCCCGATTTCATCAATTCGCCCCCCTTGCTTTGGGGAAGAATCAAATGTAGCTCAAGGCAGGTTCTGTTAATGTGGATGAGCTGCCTCAGACGCCGAGCCTCAGGAAGCTGCAGAAGGCCTCCTGGAGGCCAATGAGTTCAAATTAGTAGCCCCGGAGCATCCACACGAATGTTATTTTGGACTTACAAGTTCAGAATTAGCATTACTCCTCAAGAAAAGCAGGAGTACAGTATTTGAATTCCACAGTGAAATATTTTAGTCACTTAAATGACATCTGTTATCAACACTTGCCTCATCTTACTCCATAGCACTTACAACACTTTCAGACCAGGGACATACAAATGAATATTTACCCCACCCCCGAGTTCCCAGTGGTTCTTATAACAGAAAAGGAGTCAGCACAGACAACTAAGGAAAATGCAAAAACTTTTCTCCAGGGAACCCTTTGTGTCTGTGAATCCTGAGGACATGTCTACACTAGGAAGTTATTTTGAAATAACTGAATTCGAAAGAATAACTCCCAACATAACTAGTTTGAAATAAGCTTATTCCTTGAGGAAAGCAGGAGTACAGATTTCAAAGTAACCAGCCTGTTACTTCGAAATAACGGGCGGGGTCATGTGGACGCTTCACTTATTTCGAAATAACCCTCCGTATTTTGAATGAATAACTCCCTAGTGTAGACCAGGGCTGAGTCACATTTATGAAAGCTTTGACTGAAAACTAGTTCCACAGTCATCTCCTGCTACTGTCACATCTCATTCTAACATGCTCCAATTCAGACAGAGAATAATAAGGGAAAGTTATGACTATGAGGCCTAAAATTCCAGAGTCTGCTAAAAATGACAGTCATATGCGCCAAGACTGGTGTTTTATACCAGTGTGATGTGGAAATTGGGCCCAACTTACTGCTATAAAAACCTCCTGAATTTAGTTAATTGTAGAACCAAGTTAAGTGATCCCACTTTAATTTTTTATTGTATGCGCCACTGGACGCTTGGCACAAAACCCATTTTATATTTACAAGTTGGTTCCTTCCTGTGGTATTTTTAACTGCAGGAACCTTTAACAAACAACAACAACAAAGCCGCATTTCTCAAGTGCGCGAGATGGAGGCAGGAAATACGTCAAATAGTTTCAAAGTTTCACTTTTTAATATTATTCAGATTCCCCCTTGCACCGTTCAAAGGTGTGTCTGTAAGCTTAGAAGTGTCTAAACTGGCTACAAAAAAAGTTAGCAGAAAGCGTCACATAGGCAGAGACTAGATAATAATGGATTAGCAAACTCGTTAGCAAACCACTTGAAGAAACACCGGTTAGTACAGAGCTTCACAGGGAAATTCCTCCAAAAAATTCACACTTAAATCCTCAGTCTGACGTTTGTTTTTTTCATTCACAAATTTACGGCATTTTAGATCAGCTGAAGCACTAGTTCACCCCACACTTACGATCTACAGGAAGAAGACCCGGGCAGTTAAAACGCAAGCACAAACTCATCTAGGGCTCCTGCTGGATGCTGACTAGGTTTGGTGAGCGGAATTTAAAGTCCTAGCAGTGCGGCAGTTTCCGGGAGGACTGTTCCCACAGAAAGAGCGTCTCACTATTGGACAAAGAAATACAGGGATTTTTGTTGTAGCTGGTCATTTCTCACAATGCATCTGGTCTGTAAATAACTGGCAAGCTCAGGATTTCTCTTCAGTTTGGCGCTGGAAGTTGGATCGCATGAAAGACAAAGTGGTGGGGAAGGCAAACTCTGGAGGTACGATGCAAGCAGCTTCACAGAACGCTGCCAATGACCCTAACTATGATTTATAAGGCCCACAATTTCCTTGGCAGGAAACTACTCCCCCCAGTCCACCAGCTCCTTTCCCCCAAAATCTCCTGTTTTCCCAGCACCAAACAGTCAATAATAAAAAAAAACAAAACAATTGCGTCTTTTCATCCAAAGACGACATAGCACTTTACAAACACAAGTTGCCCGGCTAAACTGGATCTGTTTTATCCCCATCAAGGGGAGTTGGTGTAGCAGTTACATCATGTGGCCAAGTATCGAAAGCCCTGGGGTCCATCCGTTCCTCCCTGTGCGACCTGGAACAAGTCACCGAGACGCTCCATGCCTCAGCAGGGGGATTGCAATACAGACCTCACAGAGGTTCATTCACCACCGTCGTTAAAGTGCTCTGAGATCCTGGGACAGCAGGTTACTCCAGAGGTGCAAAGGTTTAACATGGATTATCAATTTGCAAGTGGGGAGGTTGGGTAGAGAGAGTGAATTGGCTTGTCCAATCGGCTAAGCGAGTGACAAGAGCTGGGAAACAGCATCCAGAGATTTCTGCCAGCCTGGCACTGTCAGCGTCAGGCAGCTCTCCGCAACTTTTCACCCAACGTATGCCCAGGCAGAGAACTAGAACGTCTTTGCTATATCTTTTGTGGTTTGCATTGCTAGCTAACGATGTTTTCTCTCTGCCCATAGCTCTGG